GGGGGGGGGGGAAGCACACTCATAAGGTAGGAATTGGTTTGTATAAAACAAGAAAGTATATATCCTCTTATACAGCCCAAGAGGAATATGTATAGTAATAAAAACTATCTACAATAAACTTGTAAAGAGATGATTTCGGTTTATATGTTAAGTTGGCTTAAATTGACCATGACTGAAAATGATTGGAAAGTTTCTTCTCCTAACATAATGCCCATTCATTATAAACTAAGCTAGTCTTAGTTTCTTATAAATCTCTTATTTCCTTGGATTTATCTAGTACACCCTCACTTTATAGCCTTTTAACTTAAAAGCTGGGCCTGCCAAGCCTACCTATAAAGCCTCTCTTCAGAAATATACCAGATGCATTAAATACAGGCATCCTCTAGTAAAACTCTGCCCTTCAAAACAGCATACGAAGAACCAGCAATAGGCTCTCCAATATAAATACTTCTCATTTCATACTATCATAGAAACAGTGTAGTTTACTAACCACTCCTTCCTTACAGGCAACTCAGTAGCTGTAAAAATTTATTCTTTAGTTTCAAAACTTTTCAATACTTGTTAATTCCAAAAAATCCAAACACCATGTAACTGTGGCATTTTGGGAATTAGCACACTCAGGAGAGAAGCTGTGTTTAGGATGAAGTGAATTGGATCATACTTTGTACAGAAACCTGCCAGAAAATATCTAAAAATTTCCACGACTTACAGAATTATTGGAGAAATTGTGAAAAACTTCCGTGAAGATGTAAACTGTACTCCATAGTCCAGTTGTTACCAATGAGTTAGGAGCCTTGCTTTACCCTGGTCAGGAGTTTCAAAAGGTGTTCCTTTTACAGCATGCAAAAATACATACATCCCCAGATTATGTGTAACATTTGTTAAGGTCCAAGCAACAGGAACACTGAAGAAGGGAATACTGAGTAAGACTATATGAAGCAAGCCAACTCCCAATGCATATGTCAGCCACATACCCCGGTTATTCATTACCCAGGTATTTGGATTCACCTCACTGTGGGCAACTCCAACATTCATGTTTGCTCCACTGCCACACTCCGGGCTGCCGGCTCAGAGAAGGACCGGCTCCGCAGCAACTGTGTCTTCTCCAATAAAGATATATATGTATTTTAAAAGTGATGTTAGTTACTTTTCCCACCAACTAAGTACCAAGTAGTTCAGATGAAGTGATATTCATCTGAAGTTAATATTCACGGCCTCAAAATGCAAGAACCAAAGAAAAACAAAAGATAAAATAATATAATTCAAAGAGAAAATTAATTCATTTCTTGAACACAAAGAAAAAACTCTGCCCCAAACCAACTCTGTTTGAAGAACCAGCTTTGCGAATCACTAGTATGAACAGAATCAAGGGAGGATAGTAAGAAGCTAGGAAAACTCCTTGGCAAATGGAAGGGGGAAACTAAGAGAGACAGCTGAACAAACTGCCCTGGTCGAGCAATTAACATCAGATACAGAAAGTCACCAGGGTGGAAAGCCCAGATGCCCAGCAGTAGGCAAAACTGATGCGGAACCTTGCCCCAGGGTGGCCTTTCCCCCCCAGGCATATTGCCAGTCATGTGGTTTATCCCCCCTGACCTTTCACATGGCTGGTCATGCGGTTCAGACTGTGCCCTGACCTTTCCTCTCTAGAGATAACATCTAAGTCATCTAGGCCTTAGTTGTATTTTGTTTCTTTTTAAAAAAAATCCTCACCAAAGAATATGTTTTTATTGATTTTTCAGAGAGAGAGAAAAACATCAATCAGTTGCCTCATGCATGCACCCCGACCAGGGATCAAACCCACAATCTTTTGGTGTACAGGAAAATGTCCAACTGAGCCACCAGGACAGGGCAGCCTCAGTTGTATTTCCGCTTCAGGCCCAGAAAAGCAGCAAAACCAGATGGGCAATACCAGGATCAGTTGCAGAGTAATGACCTCTACCCTGGCACTGACCAATCAGTGGAGACCACAACCCTGAAGGGGCACACCTGGAAAAGCTGATGAATATTCTATTGAGATCTTCCTTGAAACCTCCTCTAATATCCTCACTTTTGGAAAGCAGATAAAACTCCTCAAGATAAAGAAGCCAGCACATGCCCTCCTTGGAGCACGCCCACTCAAATCTTCTTTCGGAGTGAATTTTCTTTCTCCTAAACTCTAAAGGGTCCCCATGAGACTTGCAACCAGGGGAGCAATGGGCAGTGGCAGCTCGTCCTGGACTAACCCCTGAACCTGTTCCCAAGGCCCCCTTTTCTCTGACTCTCCAGTGAGCTAACAGCAGTCCTGCCTTAGCTTGCTTCTTTCCAATAATGTTTCTAGAGAGCCAAAGCAGCCACACCAAGGCCCTCTCCTGTTGCTTCTTCTATCTTAAGCCCTTCCTTGTTTCACTGTCTCCAGCTTTAATTAACATACTCTTAAAATCACCTGGACTTGTGTTGTGAAATCTTTCCTGCATGAAGTCAAGAACGTACACACTACTGGCGAGCCCGAGGCAGACTCGCTCTATGCCTGGTCCCGTTTTCAGTAACGGAATGACATTTGGCATTGAATTTCAGTTCTGTCCAGTACTAAGCTGGTGATCTTGAGCATGTGGCTTAACCTAAACCTCAGTTTCCTCATCAGTATACTGAGAAAATAAATGGGGAAGTTTAAATGAAATCATGGCAGGCAGTGCTACTTAAAGTATGGTCTGCAGACCATTGGTTAACGCACTATTAGCAGTCTGCATCAAGGCAAGTACAAAAAACAAAGCATAAGCATTTAGAACATCTCACAGCAATTTAAAAGTTAGTGTTTACTGAATCTAATAATAAAGCCTACATTCTTCATGTTTTTCTTCATACAGAAAACTAGAAAAGTTTTTCTAGTAATTTAACTTTTCTAGTCACAGTTCTAGCATTTTATATCCATATCTCAGTAAAGCTGGAGGAAAAAAGTACTGCTCTGCAACAACTTGCAGGGGGAGAGGGGGACCCGATCTGATCCTTTATCAAGATAGTTGCAGAGCCCGGTTGGGTGTGGCTCAGCGGTTGAGCATGGACCTGGGATCCAGGCGATTGGGGCTCGATTCCCGGTCAGGGCACATGCCTGGGTTGCGGGCAGCTGATCAATGACTCTCTCATCATTAATGTTTCTATCTCTCTCTCTCCCTCTCCTTTCCTCTCTCTGAAATCAATAAAGATATATATGTATGTATATGTATATATATATACACATACATACATATATATACATATATATATATATATATATATATATATATATATATATATAAAGATAGTTGCAGAAGCACTGATATCCAGCACTTTACTGAATGGTGAGCACTAAAGGAAGAGCTCTCAAAATATTAATTTCCTCTCCATCTATTGGGCGCTAAAGTCAGTCACTAAATGCTTACAGAAGAGCCTTCTAGGCAAAAGATCATGTTGTACAAGTGCAATGGTGGTGCTAAAAAATTTTAGTTGCAGAAATAAACCCACATAAGATAGAAGATAAAATGTAAAAGATGGTGCAGGCTCTAAATAAGTGATATTGTAAAAGAAATTCTGAAAAACTAGGGCTCTTTTCAGGATACAGTAGCCAAGGAGGTTTTGTCAGAGGAATTGTGATTAGAACTGGACTTTTTAAAAGCTGCATTCATTCCAGAAAGCTGGGAGGAGGTGCATTTAGGCAGAGAACTGCCACAGCAAAAGCAGAGAGAGCCACTATGAATAGATGAGTCTAACAAGAAAGCAATAGAAAGTGAACCTGGATCCTGCTTTATGGGAAAACCTTGTCTTTGTCTATCAATTCAAGGACTCTGAACATGAATCAGGAGTCACTGAAGATTTCTGAGATGAAAAACAAAATGATCAAACTGGGACTGCACAAAGCAGGGTCACATATTCTACTATTGTATCACTATACATATCACTCTCTCTGTGGTCTCAATCTTTTTTCCTTTCACTGCATTCACCCTACAAAAGATTCCAACCTCAGATCAATGCAAACATCTGCTTTCTAGACTCCTGGACTTAAATCTTGACTCAGATTTGCTGAAGAAAACCATACAACCCCACACAGTGATACACAACTAATATACAGTTTCCAACCTGAGCAGGGACCTCAGCCTGGCCCAGCAAGTCATTTTAGTGTTCCTGGTCCACTTACTCTTCTTTTTCCCCAAGGAACAGCTGTTTCTAACTTTCATTGTTATCTTCAAGCCCCTTTACTCCACTGCTTCCAACACCTCATACCTGGTGTCCCTGTTCTCTTTCTCTTAGGAAAAACTGAGGTCATCAGACATGACCTATCTTGACTCTCTCCACCCAAGCCTAAAAACATACGTATTTCAAATGCCCACTGTTACTTCTTTGCTTCTAATCTAAGCTCTCCATTTGTGTGACTGATAATCACTTTCTGTCCCTTAGTTGGTTGCTCCTCATTCATTTGTTACCAGTCTTCATACTGATCTCATCCCCATGAGCTGCTCAAAGTTCTTCCATCTTAGGGAGAAAAAACCTAACATAAAACAAAACCTCTCCTTGACCCCATATTGGCTGCTCCTCCAGCACTGATGTCCCACAGGTCTGCACCTTTAGTCCGCTTCCTCACTTTACACAGCCTCTTTTCACAAACTGATCCACTCCCACATCTTCAACTACCATCTCTGAACCTTGAGCAAGCAAATCTGTATCTCTTGCCCCTAAGCTCTCCTGGTGCCAATCCCACACGTTACACTAATGAATAGCACTGAGTACCTCTATGTCCCAGAGATATCTCACACTCAACACGTCTAAAATTGAACATCTTCCCCCCAAGTTTGTCTCCACTTGTTTTGGATCTTTCAGAGACTGGCACTATCTACGCAGTTATTCACAGAAGAAACCTAGGAGTCATCCCAGATATCTCTGGTCATTGACTCAGGCTAATTCTCCTTAAATTCTCCTATCTAGTCGCTGTCCATTCCCATATTCAGGACCTGAGCTAAGGCAGTCGGACCTGTCTTACTTCAGGTCCTAAGTATCTCTTGCTTACTCAACTGCTTCCTAACCACTTTCTCTGCCTCCAGTCTTATTCTCTTCAATCCACCCACAATATAGTTACCAGATTTGGCCCTATAACCACTTTGCCTGAAATCCTTCGATGGATACATAAAAAACTTCACAGTGACTGTCTCTGGAAAGACTGGGGGTGGGGGTGGGAGAGTCTGCAGCAGGAGAAAGATTTACCTTTCACTTTAATAGTACCTGAATTGTCCACCACTTGCATGCACTACTATACAAAACTAAAGTTTCAGTGGCCATCAATGCTTACAATACAAAGTCCTTCGTGATCTATCTGCTTTTATTTATTTATTTGTATTTTTTTAATCCTCACCTGAGGATATTTCTCCATTGTTTTGCAGAGAGAGAGTGGAAGGCGGAGAGAGAGAAACATCGATGTGAAAGAGACACATTGATTGGTTGCATCCCAACCAGGGCCGTGACTGAGCCCGTAACCAAGGTATGTGCCCTTGGCTGGAATTGAACCCTGGGACCCATCAGTCCGCAGGCCGATACTCTAACCACTGAGGCAAACCAGCTAGGGCTCTATCTGCTTTTAAGCGTCTCTCTCAAGACACTCTGTCTGGCCCTGGAGTTTACCCACTCATCCTTTAAGACTCTGCTGAAATGGCACTCCGTCCTGACTTCTCCATACAGAATGGACCTCTCCTTTGTGTCATTTAATAGAGTTCCATCATGGCATTTACAGCTCGTGTTGTACTAATACTTAAACAGATTGTTTAAAATGTCTCCCTCCATTAGCCTTACATTCCCTAAGGGCAGGGTCGAGTTTAGTTAGAGCTCGAGTGTGTGGGTGGGGTGGGGT